CGGGCCCTTCTGAGCCCAGCCGCAGGTCTGGGGTGTGGGGCAGAGGCGGGGCCAGCTCAGGAGGGAGTCAGGACCTACGTTTGCCCTTGCAGCACCTGCATGCCTGTGACCCCGGGATGTCCGTCCGATGGCAGGTCGTGGACAGGCGCATCCCGCTGTATGCCAACCACAAGACCATCCTCCAGAAGGTGGCCACTTTGTATGGGGCTTTCTACTGACCCATGGACTCTGGCCGGGTCCCGATGCCGGGGGTGGGTGAGGCTGGTCTACCCACAGCCCCCTTGGAAGCTCGGCTGCCAGGGACTCAGGCCGAGGCCAGCCACCCAAGGCACGGGCCGCCCTGGGCCTCGGATGGGCAAGGGGCTGCTGCTGGGACACCTCGCGGTGTGGTCTGGGAATCTGCTGCTTCTCACAGCCACCTCGAGTCACTGAGCAGACGAGCCTGTGAATTGGAGGGCGTCAGGGCGCCCTGAGAGGAGAGCCGAGGCAGGGCACGGGCCGGCCCTTGTCACACGGCCATTCCTCATGGCCGGCGTGGCTCCTAGGATCCCGCCAGCCATGGCTGCCCCTGGCGGCCTCAGCCCTCAGCCCAGGTGACTCCCTCCTGGTCATGTCGTGAGCAGCTCGCCCACCACCAGATGTGCATTGGCCCAAGGCCCGCATTTCCTGCACAGTTGGGACTGTGGCCTTGTCCTGGAGCCCACACCCCAGAGGCGGCACCCACCGTGACTTCACTCGGACCCTCACCTGCCCTGGGGTGGGGCCCCGTGGGAGCCTCAGTTCACTGCCCTGGCCTCTCAGGGCTGAGCCCCTTTGAGGGGCAAGAGCCAGGCGAGCACACGCCTTCTCTGGGGGTCAAAGTGTGTCCGCCTCTGTGCTGTCCTGGGGATCCGGGCAGGGGCTCTCCACGCACAGCGCTCCCTGTGAGCCCAGGGCGGGGCAGGCGGTGGGCCTAGATGGTGGGGGCGCCGCTCTGCTCAGTGTCCATGACTCACAAGCCATCAGCATAAACCGCCAACAGTCATCAGGGCCAGGATATCGTAAAACCCAACATTAAATCTGTTGCCCGTACCAGCCCGGCCAGCCTCTCTGTGTTCCCTACAGACAAAGTTACAGACATGGGCAGTGGTCAGGGGGCTGTGTCTGGGCCACTGAGACCTCTTCCGGCCCGCGGCCCAGCTGCCTGTGGCCCGAGGGCGTCTCCTGTGGCCATCTCCCCCCGGGTTCCTCCCCTTGGACACCCTGCAGGCTCCTTGGGCCCAGACCAGTCCACCCCCACCGGCCCCCCGTTTTTCATCCTCCTGGACCCGCCTCCAGCATGGCCCCCGGTGCCCAGGCTGGGACTCGGCAAGGCCACGCCCTTTCCGTGGCTGCCCACGCCCAGGTGTGGGGGGGCCTTGGTTTTTTATCTAGACTCCCAACTAGCATCCGACTGGCAGCACCGAATAAAAACATTTTAGAATGGAAAGACTCAGGAAATGTGTCGCTCGTGTGCATCCTTTCTGAAGGATCTTCGTTTTTATTTTATTGTTTACTTATTTAGTTATGAATATAATTTATTGCCACGTTAGCTAACATACGATGTATGCAGTGTGCTCTTGGCTTCAGGGGTAGATTCCTGTGGTTCATCACTTACATACCACACCCAGTGCTCAGCCCAGCAAGTGCCCTCCTCGGTGCCCGTCACCCATTTGCCCCTCCTCCCAGCTCAAACTGTCAGTTTGTTCTCCGTATTTAAGAGTCTCTTACGGTTTGCCGCCCTTTCTGTCTGAAGCTGTTTCCCCTTCCCCTCCCCCATGGTCTTCCGTGAAGTTTCTCAAGTTCCACATATGAGTGAAAACATATGGTATCTGTCCTTCTCCGACGGACTTATTTCACTCAGCATAATACCTTCCAGTTCCGTCCACATTGTTGCAAATGGCAGGATTTCATTCTTCCTCGTTGCCAAGTAGTATTCCATCGTATGCATAAACCACATCTTTATCCATTTGGCAGATGATGGAGATTTGGGCTCTTTCCATAATTTGGCTATTGTTGAAAGTGCTGCGGTAAACATTGGGGTACAAGTGCCCCTCTGCATCCAGCACTCCTGTATTGACTCCCTTGGGTCAATTCCTAGCAGTGCTATTGCTGGGTCATAGGGTCGTTCTATCTTTAATATTTTGAGGAACCTCCACAGTGTTTTCCAGAGCGGCTGCACCAGTTTGCATTCCCACCAGCAGTGCAAGAGGGTTGCCCTTTAAAAGAACTTCTCTAAGACGGATTCCAGAAAAGCGAAAAGAACTCTAAGACGGATTCCAGAAAAGCGAACCGCGGACTCAGCTGGGCTGCTGTAACAAAATTCCACAGACGGGGCGGCTTAAACAATGGACTTGTTTCCAGTCCTGGAGGCTGGAGGTCTGAGACCCAGGGGCCAGCACCCGTCTCTGGTGAGAGCTCCCCTCCTGGCTTGGGGACGGCTGTCTCTCGCTGTGTGCCGAGTGCCTGTCCTCAGTGTGTGCACGGAGAGGGAGCGAGTGCTCCGGTGTCTCCTCTCAGAAGGACTCTAATCCTATGACGTCAGGGCTCCACTCTTAAGGCTTCATTTAACCTTAATTACAATATTAGAGGCCCCACCTCCAAATACAGCCACAAGGGGATATAGGGCTCCAGCATATGAATTTGGGGGTGGGGCGGACACAATAACACACACACACACACACACACACACACACACGTGTGCACAGGTGCACAGCCCAAGCTCTGTGTAAGCCAAGAGACCATTAAGATGTATGGCTGCGTCTTACACCTGTTGGGGCACAGCGTAAAAAGAAAATTTAACAAGCGCTCAGCACTAAAGCCCCGATGGGGTCACTGGCAGCTGGCGGTGGAGGGCGATCCCAGCGCACGGGTGTCCTCTTGCCTAGGACGATGGGGGCGGGCTGGCCGGCCACACTTCCGCGCGGACGGCGGCGGCTCCCGGACGCGGGCAGCAAGCCGGGCTGTTGCGGGGCGAGCGGCCGCTGGCGGGACAGACACACACGAATCACTGTGAACCCCCGGCGGGGTCAAGTGGAACGACAAAATCGGGGAAAAACAGGAACCAGCGGAGGATGGTCGCTGTGCAATAGAACGAGAGGAGACACTCAAAACGCCTCAGTGATCAGGACACGTGTGAATCGGGGTTTTCATAGTGAGATAAAAAACAACCCAACTCGTTCTTCCTCGTGGCGCCTCGGACGTGGTGGGCTGCTTCAGGATGATGCGGGACGTCTTCCCAGCTACCGGCTGCCGGAAACTCTTTGAACGGAAACCTCGTACCTTTTCTGAGAAGCGAATGGCCGCAGACGCTGGGTGGACTTGGGGGAGAATGGAGGGGTGACGTGGTCTGGGTCACAGGTGGCCGTGACGGACAAGGCCTCCCCGTGAAGGGGGGGTGTCTTGACCCATGGCCGCGTCCGCCTGCTGCTGAGCAGGGGGATTCCTGCTACCGACCCGGGAGGAGGGGGGTAGAAAGCGCGACTCTGCTCGGGGTGCGTCGCGGATGCCAATCTCAGTGCTCTCCACTTGGTCCTTGTGGGACAGGGGAGAAGGATATTGCTGGCCTCACTGACCCACGGACTCCGAACTAGCGGGATCCGCGAGCTTTTCAGTCTCTCGAAGGAAGAGGCCGTCCGCCAGCACGTTGTGAGAATGCCCCTAAACAGAGAGGGTGAGAAACCTCGGGCCAAAGCGCCCAGGGTCTTGTTCCTCCGCGTGTCCTCCAGCAGGGACGTCGGCACACTGCTCGGAAGGATCAGGACGCTAAGAAGACTAAGCAGGAGCTGCAGAGTACGTCAGACTTGTGGGCAGCCGCTTGAAGGGGGCCAGGGGCAGATCGCCAAGAGACGGAGGCTGAAGAACAAGAAATAAATAGGATGATGCCTTATCAAACCACCTTAATTAATTTTTTGCATTCACAGCAAAACAGATCAACCGGGAGATACTCGAGTGGGAGAAAAGGGAGCATGGTCAGTCTGATGGTGCATAAAGTGTGCAAGGGATACCTTCCAGTTGAGAGGCCAGGCCACGCTGCGACGGTGGTAGAGACGGGCAGGGAGGGCTTCTTCCACGGGGGGTGGGTAGCTCAGGAAAGGATTCTGAGCAGAACGTATCTACTGTGCTTTCTGGGAGGCATGGGGCAGCTTGGAAATAAAGGACTCGGACTGTTAAAAAAAAATAATAACCCGACTCATTTCTATTGTTTTCTATGTATTTGTCTGTATCACCTGAGACAGAGAGACTCAGAAGAGCTGGCAGAGTGGAGAAGCCGTCTGGGCAAACGCTCTCAGAGAGGATGGTTAGGGAGACAGCGCTAAGCCGACCGCCAACCCCGGTCTGGGCCTTCTCGAAGGAGCACACGCGGGTCCTGGGTTAGAGAAAGGCATCCATCTACGGAGAAGGCATCGCTGTCAGGAGACGTTACCCACCCAACACCCTCGCTTTTTAAATATGTAAAGCAAACTTGATAGAAATTCAAGGGGAAATTGGCAAATTCACAGTAATATTTGAGGTACTTCCTCAGAAATCAAGAAATCAAAGAGGAAGAGGAAAATAGGGCAGAATGTGAATAACACAATGAAGACCGAAGTCACTCTGTGTGGTGTGTGTGTGCACATATATACATTCATACATGTTATGTATTTATATATATAATGTATATATTAAGCATATATACATTATGTACAACTTATACGTAAGTTTGTCGACACATAAGTTATATAAATGATGTACAACGTATTTATATACATAATAAGAAATATATATTTATCTGTATAATAACTTAAGTGTAACATGCATACAGGGGCGCTTGGGTGGTTTAGTCGGTTGAGCATCCGACTTCAGCTCAGGTCGTGATCCTACAGCTTGTGAGTTCGAGCCCCGTGTCGGGCTCTGGGCTGACAGCTCGGAGCCCGGAGCTTGCTTTGGATTCTGTGTCTCCCTGTCTCTCTGCCTCTCCCCTGCTCGTGCTCTGGGTCTCTCTGTCTCAAAAATAAATAAATCATTAAAAACAATTTTTAGCATGCATACACACGTGACACATACATAAGCATACACTGCTTATATATGTGTGTGTATATGGCTCTGTACCCCCCACCCCAATAGCAGCAGCAAGAGGCCCAGAGGAGACACACGGTTCTCAGACACACACAGGACATTCACAAAAACCAGGCGTGCTCTATATACACCACCGAGCAGATCTCAGCAACTTTGCCAAGGCGGCTCTGGGACGGGGCCACACGCTCCACACTCTTAGAACAGTCACATTAGAACAAAAACGTAC